ACATTGTGACGACCGTTCCGCGAGGCTCAATGCCCAAGACATGTAAGAATTTCGCCAAGGCAACGTTTTGCACCGTCATGGTTTGTCAAGCATCAGCAATCTCAACGTAGAGACGTGTTTGCATAGGAATGGGGAATTGCACTTGGCCAACGTTTTCCCCACTGCCACTATCGTATTTGCGATGATCAGTGTAGGGTAGGAACGCATGTAATTGACCACAAATATGTGTAGTCTTGGCCAAGTTGTGCGCGATTGCGGCATAGCCGAAAACTTGGTCCCACTTAACCAATTAGCTGCAATAGAACTTGGTTACGCACAGTTAATGGTGACAGAATAAATCTGCATAATGCCAAATGATTGGTACTCGTAGTAGCATGCTGATTCGAACATATCAGCGCAAAAACGCATGACAATTGAAGTACCGGTATGGTAATGGCAGAGCCGTAGAGGGTAAATTATCGTCAGCCGGACATAGCTCTGTTGGCCGACTATGTGGATATAATTTTTTTCAGCTGAATAAAACCAGACGAGCGTAAACGCAAATACGAGTGGCAAGTTTCTGACTACATTGTTTGTGCAGTGCACGTTTGTGATGGAGCACAATAGGCAGGAACTTCCTCGCCTTAATTCAAACAGATAAATATCTCAACACCAGTGTTGATAATCGAAAGCTTTAAACGAGTGGGAAGGGCTTATCGCAATGTAGCCCTGGCAAATGGCCAAAGTTCCGAGCTTTTCTTTCCGATAAACATTGACTTAGGCAGAATCGTATACGATGCTTGGCCAGAATTGTATACGATGCTTGGCCATTTATGAATCATATCCAACGAGCATGCAAATTGCTCGCTCTCTTCCTTCCATAGGGTTATGCGGAAATCTTTATGCCATAATATTTAAATATCAGAATATCATAATCTTCATAGGCCGGTGGCCTTAATAGGGCCATCGCAAATCTCTTAGTAGGCCGTGATATTTTGAAAAATATCATGATCTTAATCAGCCCCTTATCACCACATTTTTTTTTTTTGGCACCAATAGCGATTTTTTCTTAGCGCAGCAACAGCAGTAGCTCGAAATTTCGAGAGTTGCTATCCCTGCCAGCCACGGCAGCACCCTTAGTGGCGATCCAGATAGTAGCAGATAGCGCGACACTAGCAGCAGATCGCGCTGCACCACCAGCAGATATCGAAGTCGCAGCAACGGATTTCGAGCGGCGGCAGCAAATCTTGAGCGCAGACAGCAGATCTCGCAGCAGGAGCAAATCGCGCAGCTACACAGCGGATCTCACGCGCCAGTCGCAAATCACGCGCGCCTGCAGCAGAATCTCGCGCGCAGGTAGCAGAATCTCGCGCGCCAGCAGCGAAATCTCGCGCGAGAGGAGCGGATCCCGAGCCCAGCAGAAAATCTCGGCGCCAGCAGCAGATCTCCGTGCTAGCAGCAAATCTCGCGCTCCAGCAGCAAATTTTCGAGCGCCATCAGCAAATCATGAGTGCCAGCAGCAGATTTCGATTTTCAGCAGCAAATCGCGAGCCCAACAGCAGGTCGCGAGCCTGGCAGCAGATTCCGCAACGTGAGAAGATCGTGAGCACCGCCCTTAAATCGCAAAGCGATAGCAGGAGATCTCGCGGGAGCAGCGGCAGACCACACGTCAACGGTCAAGATAGTGCATGAGAAAGCAGCAGTTGCATAGCGTCAGCAGTAACAAGTTCTCGTAGTAGCAGCAGAAGACCTGTGAAGCCACCCAGCAATTACGTGACGAAGGAATGTATGAAATCTCGCCCTTTGCTCACGCGTCTCACTACTAACTTACAAGAAACGAAGACGCAAGGAGAGACTAGGGGCAGGATAATCATAGTAGCAATGGCAGATGACTAGTCGGGAAGGGTGCAAGGTTTAGGTAGGTGTGCTGTTCTAAACTCAGATCTAGAAATGTTTTTTGGACTAGGTGGCAGGTCCGTGGACCTGCCACAAGATAAGGAGCGATAGACTCCTTACTGCATTCTCCTTTACATGTCTTGTCATAATCTTTAAATTTTGAATTTTAATTCAAAAATTTTCATGTTGGTTGTGATGATTTCAGGGTGAGGTGCTGGTATGCATCGTGTTTGCAGCTGAGGTTGTCATCGTCGTTGGCGGTGTGTTTTCACTGTCTCAACGACCCCATCAATCTCAGTTGTAGCATTGGTGCATATCAAGCATCCATTTTGATGTCGTCACAACTTTTTTCGTGACGTTTGCATTTCCTGTTTGTGAAATGTGTGTGTTTCAAGGCGAGGTGTTCCAATGCATCGTGTATGCAATTAGAGGTTGTCATTGTCGTTGGTGCAGCGTGTTTTCGTTGTTTCAATGGCCCCATCAATCTCTAGTGCTACATTGATACGTTGAACATTTCTTGAAGCATCTGCATCACACAACATATCGTGTTCACTTATTCAAGTGCATTCGCTCATGTTGATGCCATGCTCGAACGTGTCAGAGGTCCACTGGAGATCCCCGATGATCCTAGGGAAGGGTTACAGGCACGTCGGCCTGGGGGGTTATGGGCGCACTCACCCGCTATATAAACAAGCCCTTTTATCCTAGTGGTTAGTGGCTGGGATTCTGACATGGTATCAGAGCGAAGGTCTCGGGTTCGATTCCCGGTGTGTGCACTTCGGGCATCCCAGTGCGGGGGGGTGTCAGAGGTCCACTGGAGATCCCCGATGATCCTAGGGAAGGGTTACAGGCACGTCGGCCTGGGGGGTTATGGGCGCACTCACCCGCTATATAAACAAGCCATTTTATCCCAGTGGTTAGTGGCTGGGATTCTGACAGAACGTACCGCATTCTCCCGGACATAACACCCTAGGGTAGATCTAAAAATACAGGAAAAAAAAGGGGGGTGTCTTCTCATAGGAAAAAGCTACATAATACCCGGGTCCTTACATGTGGCATAATCTAGTGTTAGTGTTTTTTTAATTAGAAAAAGTGGGTGTTTTGATAGTCGTTTTAGCATCAGTGTCTGAGGCGCGAATGTGAGTTTCGGCCGCGAACTTCATTAACCCCATGAAAATGCCATGTGGCACATTTCTGGCCACTTGCAGAAGAAGATTCACCAACACATGGCAGGGGGAAATAGTGGGAGGGGGGAAATCTCGGCAGATTGTAAGTGAAAGTACCGTGAAATTTCCTAGAGGGAGAAATTCTCGCGATATTCTTCCGTATTGCAGCTACTCATTAACGGCTATAATAATGAATCCGTAAGAAAAGGAGGGTGTTATAGAAAATCAGCCAAAAAGGGGGGTATAGTAAAAATGAGGTCGCCCATAGCACCCACCCCGCACAAGCTACCCGGGGGTGCTCTATCATGGGGGGGTGTTTTATCCAGGAGAATACGGTACCATCCGCCGTATTAATCGACGATGCTGGGACGGTCGGAACAAATTCGTGGTTTCAACATGACATATAATTGGTTTCACTTTTGGGATCTCATTCACAGAGTGATTTCTATTTATTATTTGATGCATTCTCTTGAACAGTGTGCCAAAAAAGTTGTTCAAGTGGGTGCTTCAAAGAATGCTTTAAAAATCACTCTTAAAATGATATCCCCAAAAATTGAAATCGATTATATAGGGTTGCTACGCAACCCAAAAACCATTCAAGGTGGATATCTCTTATGCAATCTCGAGCACAAGTCCTTTGCATGCTCATCACCGTCTTGTTGGATCAAAAGCTCTACGAGTCGCGTTACTACTAATCAATGGTAGCGCGTTATATCTTCCGAACCCGCGTCTCAGTTAGCATAGTCATACGACGGTATTCCTCCCTCGTCTCGCTATTCCATCTGGTCGTTTCCATACCTCTCCGCGAGACGCTCAGCGGAAACCTGCGTCATTTGGCCTCTGCCTCACGTCCATTACGTAAGCATCACATTTTATCGAGTGAAGATCACAATTACTGCGCACTTCAGATCGTTTGGAATGTTCGATGCACATTTCGGAGATCAGATTCAAGTGTCTATGGAGCCTAGACGTCCTCATGACATTCCAATCTACGAAACCCTAAACAGGTCAAGGGAAGGCCGGTTCCGTCATTCCACTCATTAATGCTCGCATTCCGGGTTTAACCTTAGATTCCTCCTTTCGCCAATAGTCTTGAGTCCGTTGTTGCACCCTGCCCTCTGTTTCTCAATTCCTCGTACATTTGCCCTCCCCGCCATCTCCATTCCACGTTTCCCGAGCGTAGGGCGCTGAAAGGGAAATTGCAGTATACAGCCGTTTAGTCGTCCATGGAGGCGGCGCGCTTCCCTGCTCTTATTAGGGCAAGATCGCCAGTCGGGTATTCACTTCACTGACATGTGACGTGTGAGGCAAACTGAACCTACTAGGCATAGCAAAGGAAATAAAGTGATGTGTCACCTGACGCTGCTGCAAGCCCTTTAATCATTAATTTTACTTTTAGTACTTTCCGTTACAGACAGCCATGCAGTGTTTACAGCTGGTATATCTGGAAATTCACGAGCAGCAGGCGAGCCCAAAAATACTCACCTCGTTTCAGTTTGCCTTGTTCTACTAACGAGGTGTGGCGTGTATCATCAGGGTTCCCCTCTCCGCTGCCTTGTGACTCCCCATGTGGAGCGAGTGTTTCTTGCCGGTTCAAGGCAAGAAACACTTGCCTCGCCCTCAGGTCGTGAGGAAAGCTTACATACAATGATGTTAGAAAACAAATATTTGTCTACTCGATAAGCGATCGCCTCGCTTCCGCTGAGTAGTTTGGTTTGGACAGGGAGAGGCCGCAGCCTTGACCAATTGGAGTGAAACAAAACAACCACTGCTTCCTGACTGTTTGATTATTTCTAAATCGACTGGATGTCAATCCTCTGCCCCCTTTTTGTTTTCATCTGTGGGTCTTTGTTTATCTCCATGCGTCCACCTCCGCCCGATTTCGATGTGCCACAGCCCCATCCACATTGGCCATTCTGCAATAAGGAGCAAGCCAATTGAACTCAAGCGGTAATGGTGATGGATATGGAGAGGGAGGCAAATGCATTAGCTGGAGCGATGAAAGGGCTGTTCGGATTGGTGAGAGGGGAGCTGGCAGCATTGAAGGGGGAGCTGGCAGCCGTGAAGGGAGAGTTGGAGGCAGTTAGGGAGGAGGTGGCCCGTCAGAAAGAACGTGTGTTGATTCTGGAGGAGAAGAAAGCTGATGTGGAGAACGAGGTGAATGAGTTAAGGCACGCACTGGGTGTTGTGGAAGAGAGGAGTGTGGCGTCTGCTGCGGTGGTGGAGGAGGGGGAGAGAGAGTTGATAGCGGTGAGGGGAGAGCTGACTGCAACGAAGAGGGAACTGACTGAACACAAGAGTGCTGTGGCAGAGCAATGGAAGAAGAGAAGAGGAGAACTGGATGTGAGAGAGCAGCGTAAGGAGGCTGGAATGGGAGAGGCGGTTCTGGCTGATGCCACAGCGCCAGCGAATGTTGACACCCCCAACCCCAACCCTCAAACCCCCCTGAGCAAGGAGGACGAGGCTTTCAAGAAGCACATGTTCCGGCCGTGGGTCAAGGCGTCCACTGCCCGTGGCGTGTGGAGCATGTGGAATTCACCTTTTGGTGAGCCAGGATTGACATTTGTCAAACTGTTTATGTTATATACTTGTGTAGGCTGTAGTGGGGTAGCCCATAAAGGGTACAACCCAATGTTAGGGTTAGGATATGTACCCAACTCTGTTTCAATTCAAGTCATTCCTGTCTCTAGTTTCTAACATGGTTTCAGAGCAGTAGGTCCGTAGGACCGTTTTTTTTCCGGGCCCACCATTGCCTAATGTTCGACTGCGGTTACCGGGTTACCCCACGCCCTGCCTTGCCTGACTTGCCTGCCTTGCCTGCGCTGCGCCTCACGCGCGCGCCCCGCCTTGCCTTGTGCCGCGCTGCGCTGAGCGCGCCGTCGTGCAACCCTCGCGCTGCCTGCTGCTCCCTTGCCTGCCTACTGCTCCCCCGCGCGCTGCCCCAGCTACGAGCGCGCTGCCCTTGCAGGCCCCGTCAAGCCCGCGCGCCGTCCCTGCAGGCCCCGTCAGGCCCGTGAGTCGCCCCTACAGGCCCCGTCAGGCCGCGCGCCGCCCCTGCAGGCCCCGTCAGACCCGCGCGTCGCCCCTACAGGCCCCGTCAGGCCTGCGCGCCGCCCCTGCAGGCCCCGTCAGGCCCACGCGTCGCCCCTACAGGCCCGTCAGGCCAGCGCGCCGGCTCTGCAAGCCCCGTCAGGCCAGCGCGCCGCCTCTCCAGGCCCTCGCCGCCCGCACGCAGCCTCTGCCCGACCGCGCGCGTCGCGCTGCAGCCCCGCGCGTCGCGCTACAGCCCCGCGCGTCGCGTTCGCTGCCCGCGCGTCGCGCTGCAGCCCCGCGCGCCGCGGCTGCCGTCCTTGCGCAGCCCGCGGCGCGCGAAGCAGCTCGCGTTTCGCGCTGCAGCCCCGCGCGCCGCGGCTGCCCCTGTTCGTCGCGACGCCACCCCCCCCTAGGCGTCGCCCCGGCCTGTCACAGTCGCGGCCCCGCCCTGCAGCAGCTGCCGAGGAGCCTTCTGCCCCCGTCGCGGCCCTGCCCTGCAGCAACTGCCGCGAAGCCTACTGCAGCTGTCACGGCCCCACCCTGCAGCAGCTGTCGCAGACCTGCCCTACTGCCGCTGAGGCGGCCCCGCCCTGCAGCTGCCGCGGCCCTACTCTGCAGCCGCTGTTGCGACCCTGCCGTCGCCGCCGTCGTGCGCCTCCCGGCCGCCGCCCGCCGAGCGCCGGCCCTGCTCGCCCGGCGAGCGCCTGCTCTTCCCGCCTCTGGTGAGCGCCTGTCTGCCTGCCTGCCTACCTGCCTGCCGGCCTGCCTGCCTGCCTGCCTACCTGCCTGCCTGCCTGCCGGCCTGCCTGCCTGCCTGCCTGCCTGCCGGCCTGCCTGCCTGCCTGCCTGCCTGCCGGCCTACCTGCCTGCCTGCCTGCCTGCCTGCCTGCCTGCCGGCCTGCCTGCCTGCCGGCCTGCCTGCCGGCCTGCCTGCCTGCCCGTGCTACTACTGCTACTAGCAGGTGACCATATGCAGCTCCATCGACGTTCACGCGAGTCTCTCACGCCCCAGCAGCTTAGTGAGTGGTATGCTAGTTGGGGTTGTCGCGGTAGCCGTCGTAGCTGTCGCCCTGGAGCTGGTCAGTTGGGGGCGTCTGGCAGATAGTGGCCAGCTGCAGCTACAGCGGCGTCCACGCGAGACACTTACGTCCCAGCAGCTCCATGAGTGGTACGCTCAGAGTCGGGGGTCTTTGAGTGCAGTTCGCATAGGTGATAGGACTGGTCAGCCTTGCGGGACGCTTAGTCACACAGAGTCCCGCTGCTTCGCCCGTCTGAGCGATGCCTGGCGTACCGTGTTTGGCGACGAGGCTGAGCTCCCCGCCTGGCTGGAGCTGCTTGGACAGAGGGTCGATATCTTTGCTCTTGACTATGATGCTATTCTCACTGCCATGTATGCATTGCCTACTAGTGTTGACCGTGCCTGTTACCTGTGCGTACCGCCTGACCCTGGTATAGCGCCTGCTGCTCTCGGTACTGGTGAGGCTGCTGCTCTAGGTGCTCGTGCGTCTCCTACTCTAGGTGCTGGTGAGGCTGCTGCTCTAGGTGCTAGTACGTCTCCTGCTCCAGGTGCTGGTGAGTCTGCTCTCTCTGGTACTGCGCCTGCTGCGGTCTTGCACACCTTCACCCTTGACTCAGGAGCTTCTCGCTCCTTCTTTCGTGACTGCACCACACTCACGCCGCTTAGTCGGCCGGTTCCAGTCTCCCTGGCGGACCCCTCCGGGGGTCCAGTCCTTGCCCACTACTCCACGGTTCTGCCGTGTCCGGCCGCCCCGTCTGGCTCGCTGTCAGGTCTTTACCTCCCCTCGTTCTCTACGAACTTGGTGAGTGGAGCTGACCTCCAGGATAGGGGGGTTCACCAGTTCACTCCTGCGAGTCAGCGAGTGACTCACTGTACGTGTGCTCGGACCGGCCGACACCTGGCCACGTTTTCCCGTGCGCCTGGCTCGAGTCTGTACACCCTGACCACTGAGTCCCCTCAGGTAGCTGCGTCTGCGTCTGCGTCAGGTCAGCTGGCGGCCCCCTGCGAGTGTCGCGCTTTGTCGCACCAGACCCTCCTGTGGCACCACCGCCTTGGTCACCCCTCGGTGCAGCGCCTTCGTGGCATGCACTCTCGCTTCCTGGTTTCTGGTCTTCCCAGGTCTTTGCCTGCCCTGCTCGCTTGCGCCGCCCTGCATTCCTTGCGTCGAGGGGCGGCAGCGCGCCGCTCCTCACTCCTCCTCGTTCCCTCCCACAGAGGCTCCCCTGCAGACTCTCCACCTGGACGTGTGGGGCCCAGCCCGCGTCCGTGGACAGGGCCACGAGCGGTACTTCCTGCTGGTTGTCGACGACTACACGCGTTACACCACGGTCTTCCCCTTGCGCAGCAAGGGGGAGGTCCCTGCTGTTTTGATCCCTTGGATCCGCGCTGCTCGTCTCCAGCTCCGCGAGCGGTTCGGGACGGAGTTTCCCGTCCTGCGTCTGCACTCTGACAGAGGTGGTGAGTTCTCCTCAGACCTCTTGGCAGCCTTCTGTGCGGAGCACGGCATCACCCAGTCGTTCACGCTTCCGGCCTCTCCGCAGCAGAATGGGGTTGCTGAGCGCCGCATTGGCTTAGTCATGGAGGTCGCTCGTACCTCCATGATTCATGCGGCTGCCCCCCATTTTCTGTGGCCGTTTGCGGTCCGGTACGCCGCGCATCAGCTCAACCTCTGGCCCCGTGTCTCCTTGCCGGAGACCTCGCCCACGCTGCTGTGGACGGGGAAGGTTGGCGATGTGTCGCGTTTCCGGGTCTGGGGTGCTCGTGCCTTTGTCCGCGATACCACCGCGGACAAGCTCTCCGCCCGCGCTGTTCCCTGTGTCTTCCTTGGCTTTGCCCGTGACGCGCCTGGTTGGCAGTTTTACCACCCCACCTCGCGCCATGTCTTTGCGTCTCAGGACGTCACGTTCGATGAGTCGGTTCCCTTTTACCGTCTCTTCCCCTACCGCACTGCCCCTCTCCCTCCCCCGCCGCTCTTCCTCGCTCCAGGTGCTCCCCAGGTAGACCCCCTCCCCGCTCCCGGTCCTGCTCCTTCAGGTGTGTCTCAGGTAGACCCTCCTCCCTTACCTGCGCCGGTCGAGGTCACTGGTGACTCAGGTCCTGCTGGGGGTGGTCCTGCTCGGGGTGCTACTTCTAGGGGTGCTGAGCCTGGGGGTGCGGCGCCTGGGGGTACTGAGCTTGGAGGTACTGAGCCTGGGGGTGCGGAGCTTGAGGGTGTGGAGCCTGGAGGTGCTGAGCCTGCGTGTGAGGGGTCTGGAGGTGCTGAGTCTGTCAAATCTGAGTCTGGGGGTGCTGCGCCTGCGGGCGCTGGAGATTCTGGAGCTGCTGGAGGTCCTGGTGCTGGTGGCGCTGGAGCTGGTGGTTCTGGGGCTGCTGAGGGGGTTCTGGAGCTGCTGGAGGTCCTGGTGCTGGTAACGCTGGAGCTGCTGAGGGTGCTGGCGCTGAGGGTGCTGGCACTGGAGGTTCGGGCGCTGTTGGGGGTGCTGGAGCTGAGGGTTCTGAGTCTGCTGTTGCGCGGTCTCCTTGGAGTAGCTGCCTTCGTCCACGTGTGCCTCTCACCTCACAGCAGCTGCACGACTGGTACGGTCGCCGTCAGGGTCGCGCTTCTGGAGCTAGGGGCTCTGCTCCTGGAGGTCCTTCTGCTGCTGTCGCTGGAGCTGGGAGTGGTGCTGGTCCCGGCGGTGCTCGTACTGGAGGTACTGGAGCTGCTGGGGCTGGAGGTGCTGAGCCTGCGGGTGCTGCTGCTGGAGACACTGCGGTTGGAGACCCTGGGACTGGGGGTGCCGGTTCTGGGGGTGCTGCTGCTAGTGGAGCTGGTCCTGGAGGAGCTGGTGCTGAGGTTTCTGGAGCTTCTGGAGGTGCTGGAGCTGCTGGGGGTGCTGGAGCTGCTGGTGCTGGTGGCACTGCCCAGCCGCGCCTGTTCTTTGCTCCACCGTCTCCGTCGTCTCAGCCACCGCCTGACTCTGTGCTTCGCCAGGTTCTTAGTCTCCCTTCGTCTACTGGTCTTCCGTTACAGCCTGGCTCACCGCTGCCTGCTCCTTCTCCTTACACTGAGCAGACAGGGGGTCTTGCTGAGCGTCGTGAGCCTGCGTCGCGTCCTGTCTCGCCTGTTCGTCCTGGTCGTACCAGTCGTCGTGTTCCTCGTCCGCGTCAGCCGGCTGTCCCCGGCACACGCCTTGTCGCCCTGCGTCGGTCCCCTACTCCGGAGCGTCCTCCTCTTCCGTCTCCCCCTGCGTCCTCTTTGCCTGACGTCGCGGACCCTGAGTCTGACCGGTTTTGTGCTGAGCACCCTACTGTCACGCGTCTACTAGCCACTGTTGTCACTGACCCCTCGTTTGAGTCTGCTGCTGCGTCTGCCCTGGTCGCTGAGCTTGTTGACTTTGCTGCTGTCTGTCGTCTAGACTACGCTGCTAGTCTTGTTGCTGAGTCTGCGCCTGTCTGTCCTCCGTCCGTCGGGGGTGAGTGTGCTCCTGGCACGGACGTCCTTGAGGACAGGCACGAGGACCTTGAGTGTCTTGCAGCCGCTGCGCCTCATCTCGTGGCCATGCTGCTTGCCCCTGAGGGAGACCCGGATGCTATAGACATCCCCACACCGCGCTCTTACGCTGAGGCGATCGCGGGTGAGTACTCCTCTCAGTGGCAGGCAGCCATGGACGCAGAGATGGCATCCTGGAAGTCCACAGGCACTTACGTCGATGAGGTTCCCCCTCCCGGGGCGAACATCGTCGATGGCATGTAGATTTTCAGGGTGAAGCGGCCGCCAGGTTCTCCGCCTGTCTTCAAGGCGCGTTACGTTGCTCGAGGCTTCAGTCAGCGAGAGGGAGTTGACTTCTTCCAGACCTTCTCCCCCACCCCGAAGATGACTACTCTTCGGGTGCTGCTGCACGTTGCCGCTCAGCGTGACTACGAGCTTCACTCCCTTGACTTCAGCACAGCTTTCCTACAGGGCAGCCTGCACGAGGAGATCTGGCTGCGCCGCCCACCTGGCTTCACTGGGACGTTCCCTCCTGGTACCCAGTGGAGCCTCCGCCGGCCAGTCTACGGTCTCCGCCAGGCACCCCGTGAGTGGCACGACACAGTGAGGACTACACTTGCGGCTCTTGGGTTTGCGCCTTCGACTGCTGACCCGTCACTGTTTCTGCGCACCGACACTTCGCTGCCGCCGTTCTATATCCTCGTGTACGTCGACGACTTGGTCTTTGCTACTGCTGACACTGAGGCCCTCGCCCTGGTGAAGTCGGAGCTGCAGAAGAGACACACGTGCACAAACCTGGGTGAGCTGCGCAGCTACCTTGGCTTGCAGATTACCCGGGACAGAGCACGCCGCACCATCACACTGACTCAGTCACACATGGTGCAGCAGGTCCTTCAGCGTTTCGGCTTCACCTGGTCCTCGCCACAGTCCACTCCTCTGGCTACAGGTCACTCGCTCTCAGCTCCACCTTCGGACGAGTCCGTAGAGCCGAGTGGTCCTTACCCAGAGCTAGTGGGCTGCCTCATGTATCTGATGACTTGCACTCGTCCTGACCTTGCGTACCCTCTTGGCCTTCTGGCTCGCTACGTGGCTCCTGGTCGGCACCGAAAGGTGCACTGGGATGCTGCGAAGAGGGTACTGCGCTACTTGTGCAGTACATCGGGCATGGGGCTCGTGCTTGGAGGACGGCGAGAGGTGGTCCTCACTGGGCACTCAGACGCTTCTTGGGTTGACGACCAGGCTACGCAGCGGTCGTCACAGGGTTACACTTTCAGCCTTGGCTCTGGTTCTGTTTCTTGGCGTTCTACTCGCTCGTCTTCTGTTCTCAGCTCCAGTTGTGAGGCTGAGATCTACGCCACCGCCATGGCTGCTCAGGAGTTACGCTGGCTCACCTACCTGCTGACCGACCTGGGAGAGCGGCCTCGTTCTCCTCCAGTGCTGTACGTCGACAACAAGGCTGCCATTGCCTTGTGTGAGGAGCACAGACTGGAGCACAGAACGAAGCACATCGCTCTGCGTTACTTCCTAGCTCGAGAGTTGCAGCAGCGTGGTCAGCTTCGTCTTGCACACGTGGCCACTCGGGCCAACACTGCTGATATATTCACCAAGGCACTTCCGTCTGGTGATCATCAGCGCTTTTGTACTTTGTTAGGCCTTGTGCCTACGTTTCCACACTTGCTGTAGCCTTTGTGTGTACTGTGCTCTATATTTATACCTGCATGCTTGCTCTTGCTAGGTATTGATCACTGTACTGCTCTTGTTGCATATATATATCTCTGCATGTGGACTGGCCTTGTGGCCCTTTGCTTGTGCTCAGTTTGTGTGGTGACGTTGTGATCCACCTTGAGCTTGTTTTGCGTTTCTTGACTGGTCTTGTGACCCCTTGTTCTCCCCCACTTTGCCTATGGGGGTGTGTCAAACTGTATATGTTATATACTTGTGTAGGCTGTAGTGGGGTAGCCCATAAAGGGTACAACCCAATGTTAGGGTTAGGATATGTACCCAACTCTGTTTCAATTCAAGTCATTCCTGTCTCTAGTTTCTAACAACATTGCGGGGCGAGGTGGCTAAGGGGTTGTTTACCAGGAAGTACGCCCTCACAGATGCGGAGGACACGGCGATGCGGCGACAAAAAAGGCTAATGATGGCTATTTCCGAGTACTCAGCGGCAACAAGCGGCGGGGTTGAGGAAGTGATATGCATCCTGGACAACATTGGGGCCCGCATTGGCTTCACGGCGCTTCGTGATGGGCTGACTGTCAGGACTGTTCAGGTCTGCCCGGGATCGTTTGAGGATCTCAAGAAGAGCAAATTGGGCGGTGACAAGGTGAAGGTGGCGTTGGAGCTAGTGCGATCTGGTCTGGAGGACGAGGCGTGGGGGCAGAAGCAGTACCCCAACAGCTGGAGCTCGTGGGTCAAGGAGTACGAGGGCCTTAGGAAGCGTCCACGTTAATCTTTGCCTAGTTTGCTTGCTTGTGTATGTGCTGATGTATCATGCGTGTTTGAGCTGTAAATGATAAAATAACGTACAATGCGCTTTTTCTCCTTCCATTGCACTTGTCTGTTGCCATCTCAAATCTTTTTTCTCTCCACTTGCACGCTCGCCCTTCCACCATCTTCGTGTTAAAGCCGGCAGCCCAAATTGTTCATGCTTTTAATAGATGACCAGAGGGAGTTTTAAAAACTTGGGCTTTGGCGAAAGTTTTAAATTTCGTCTAGGTTCGTTTTTTTTCGCGAGACTCAGCCAACCCTCGTTTTTCCCCATGGTGAGTGGGTCTGTCTTCGGAAGTCCCAAATTGCAGGTGCGTGACTTTCAAAAGCTTGGACACTCCACTTCGTCAAGTTTTAAAAACTTGACTCTCGCGCTCCGCAATTTGGGACGCGGGCTCTAATCTCCTCTGCCTCACCTCACCCCACCACCTTCCTTGTTGCCACTTCTCCTTGGCACCGCTGCTGCTCTTCTCGTCACCTTCCTCATCACTGCCAATCTGCCCGTCAGTTGCGCCCTCTCCGCCGCTTTTTCCACCTCCTGCTTCCCCCAACGTAGACTTTTTGCTTTTCTCATACACCTTGCACCTGACCTCCTAAACTTACAGGACGAGTTCACCTCCTGTTTTGTGTGATCATGCTTTACTCGCTGGCCTCATCTCTATTCGTCTGTCGCCCATATTCTGTTGTTTCATCTGACTACCCATCCCCAGTCGATGTGAGCGCCAAGGAGGCAGTTGCGAATTCCTGAAACACGTTTCGCCACCGCTCCCTATTACGAACTCCCCAAAAAGAAAGAGGGGTCCAGACGTCACGAACTAGGCATATGGTAACAAAGTAAGAGCAGTCATTTGCGGTGGTCGAACAAATTGAGCAAACTCGGTTAGGAATACCTCCTCGGTGCCGACCTTCAACGGTGGTCTACATATCCAAACGAGCATCGCAGTTAGTCCATTCGATGATGACCAGCTAGACAGAACAGCGCGAAATGCGGAATCCTCCTCTATTCGTCATACCACACACCTTCTGTAACGTTACACCTTCCCACCCTCCCCATTTCGACGATGGCATCCCAATGACGTCGGCTAACTCACCCGCGGAGCAGCAGCCAGGTCTTCCCATTGCACCTCGCCTCGCAGCGCGTTCGTGAGAACTTGGCATTCGGTAACCTAGCTGCCGTGCGCGCCCTGCCCAGGCGCTGCTGGTCCCAACAGGTATTTGAGCTGCGTCCACTCGAATAATACAGTTTAGCCGTTCATTTGAATGCTGCGCGGATTTAGTCCACAGCGCCGTTCGTGCTCGCCTTGCAATCACTCGACAACCTAACGCTTAGCCCGGAAATCTGAAGGATTAGGTAAGGTTACCGTATGACTCTCTCTATTTGAATCCGCCAAGCCTCAGCGTCACGCAGAACGCTCGGCAAATTGAGAGCTGCACCGCCCCGCGCCGCTATTCGATTAAGTCACTTTGAGAGCCGCAACGTGACAGTCAAGGATACCCTAGATAGAAGTAAGTCGTAATCATTGTCCCGGCCGTACCTCCGCATTGCAAGCCTTGCAAAATTGGTTACAATCATAGGCGATCTCCTTACATCCGCATGAAGCAAAAAATGGGGCGGAAGACGGAATGTAGAGAACGTGTGGTGGAAGTTCAGACCTTGGGCAGGAAGCGTGGTGTTGGGGTTACCAGTGGAGCTGGTGGGGTTACCAGTGGAGCTGGTGGGATAACCAGTGGAGCTGGTGGGGTTACCAGTGGAGCCAGTGGGGTTACCAGTGGAGCTGGTGGGGTTACCAGTGGAGCTGGTGGGGTTACCAATGGAGCTGGTGGGGTTACCAGTGGAGCTGGCAGGGTTACCAGTGGAGCCAGTGGGGTTACCAGTGGAGCTGGTGGGGTTACCAGTGGAGCTGGTGGGGTTACCAGTGGAGCTGGTGGGGTTACCAGTGCAGCTGGTGGGGTTACCAGTGGAGCTGGTGGGGTTACCAGTGCAGCTGGTGGGGTTACCAGTGGAGCCGGTGGGGTTACCAGTGGAGCCGGTGGGGTTACCAGTGGAGCCGGTGGGGTTACCAGTGGAGCCGGTGGGGTTACCAGTGGAGCTGGTTCAGAACGGCCACATGTGTGTGACATGCCGGGTGTGGGTCTGTTAAACATAGCTTCAATGAGAGATGCTACAGGAGGGGATGTGCTGGCAGGTGCGGTAGCTGGCAGGCAGAGGCAACGGCAGGGAATGGGGGGTGCTGACAGGGGTAGAGACGAAGGGAACGCTGAAGGCTGTGAGGGGCGGGGTGGACGAGAGGTGGGTGGGAGAGGGGGTGTTGTGCGAGGAAGAGGTGTTGTGAGAGGGGGTTCAGTGAGAGCTGGCGATGGGCGAGGGGGTGGGGAGAGATGGAATGGGATAAAGGGTTTTGGGCAGAATGATTTGTTCATGAGAAAAGGGGAGGAAAGTGCGGTGCAAGTGGCGAGCAGGTGTGGTGTGAGTGGGCGCGTGCAGAGCGGCGGGCTGTTGGAGATGCTTGGCGTGGCAAAGGTGGTGCCGCCTTCCAGCACTGAGGTGACTTTTGAGAAGACTCAAAAGCCACCTCGCGTGCAGAGCGGGGGGCTGTTGGAGATGTTTGGCGTGGAGGAGGTGGTGCCGCCTTCCAGCACTGAGGCTTCTGAAGATGGGAGTAGCGAGGAGGACGGGGAGGAGGATGTGGTGGAGGCGGAGGTGATGGGGGAGGAAGAGAAAGGAGAGGAGGAGGAAGAGGAAAATGAGGAGGAGGAGGAGGAGGAGGAGGAGGAGGAGGAGGAGGAGGAGGAGGAGGAGGAGGAGGAGGAGGAGGAGGAGGAGGAGGAGGAGGAAGAAGGAAGGGGAAGATGAAGGGGGAGGGGAGAAGGTCAAAGGGGATGTGAGGGGACAAGGAGGAGATGGAAGGAAGGGGGGCGATAGAGAGGAAAGTGGGTGCAGGAGTGGTGTGGTAAGGGAGGTGCAGGGCGGCAGCACGGAGAGGGAGCTGGCGATGCAGGAGGCACTGAGGGCATGGCGGATTTGGGAAGAGATGCGACAACAGCAGCCCCAGCAGCCCCGGCAGCAGCAGCGCACCTCATTTCTGCACGCATGGGCTGCACTGGTGTGTACAGTAGCACCTGCTGCTGCCATCGCTCAGAGCTTGCAGGAGTTTAGAGCGAGGAAACAACAACCCACGGCTCTCCCTGCTGCACCCTCCGCATCCCTCTCCACTCGTGTGTCCTCTCCTGTGCCGCTTGTGCCTCCCGTGCCCCTCGCATCTCCCCCTCCTCCTGCTCCTCCTGCCTCTCTCGCTGCTTTTGCTCATCCTGCCTCTCCTGCTCCTTCTGTTCCTCCTCATGCTCCTGCACCTGCTGCTCCTCCACTCACTCCTGCTGCTGGTACCCGTGCTGCCTCTCCTCCTCCTTTCCCTCCTGCTGTCACCCCACGGGCTGCCACCCCTCCTCCTCCTCCTCCTCCTCCTCCTCCTGCACAACCAGCCCAGAACACTAGGAGGGCAGCGGCGTTGCTGGCAGCAGCGCAGAGGAAGAAGTGGCCGGGCGCGGTTTGCGGCGTTTGTGTTTCCGGCGACGGGCACAGACAGCGTGACGGTGCGGTGGGAGGATGTGGAACGATTGAAGCCAGAGGAGTTTCTCAATGATACCCTCATCGACTTCTATCTCAAGTGAGTGCCTTGCCTCTCATTATGACTTTCCAGTTGACTCGTTTTGCGGCGTTTGTGTTTCCGGCGACGGGCATGGCCAGCGCGAGTGTGCGGTGGGTGGGAAGGCGTGGAGCGGCTGAGACCAGAGGAGTTTCTCAACGACACTCTCGTTGAGTTGTATCTCCATTGAGCATCAAGCTGGATTCTTAGACTGGGTTACGAAAATTCTAAGAAACGACATGAGGAGGGTGGGGTTGCTGAGACTAGAGAAAATTCTTAATTCTACGATGCTCGCATTGACAGTTACCAGAGGTGACTTGGCGAGACAAGGCGAGATGTTACAATGGGTGGGGTATAAAAGAATAGTCATATGAGCGAGCGGCGCTCTATGCTTAGGCATGACCAGGCAGTCGACCTCATCTGGCGTGGTTCAATTATTTCCTTTTCATACCGGCCTGGACTTGTGCCTATTTTTTGCGTGGGAACATTTCATCATGTCACATCTTTCCCTCTGTCTGCCTGCCTACCCGCAGACATCTGAAGGTTCAGGCCATGGAGCATTGCCGCATCGCCTGCTCGCTTGCTGGGCCCCACCAATCACTGCCTCCACCACTGCCAGCAGCAGCAGCAGCAGCAGCAGCATCAGCAGGTGCAGCAGCATCTGCAGGTGCAGCAGCATCAGCAGGTGCAGCAGAATCAGCAGGTGCAGCATCAACAGGTGGTGGGACGGCAGGTGGTGAGAAAGCAGGCGGTGAGACAGCAGGTTGTGGGAAGGCAGGTGGTGCCAATCAAGCAGGTGGGGCGAGGCAGCCGCCCCCTAGAGTGCATTTCTTCAACAGCTTCTTCTTCAAGATGCTCATCGGGGGGGAAAAGGACGACCCCTTCCCTCCCACCCGCGCCTTTGCTGCTGCCGCCACCTGCGCCGCTGCTGATGCTGCCGCTGCAGCTGCAGAGGAAGCGAGGGAAGGAAGTGTGGGGGAGGAGGGGAAGGCGGCGCGGGTGCGCAAGTGGACCAAGGGGGTCAACCTCTTCGCCTGTGACTTTGTCTTCATCCCTATCAACCTCAGGTGGGTCCTTTTTGTTTCGCTGTTATGTTCAGACGCATTGATGCATCATGCCTTAAGTGGGGCCACACCGATGCGCTCCCGGACATGCATACCGTTGCTCAAAGCAAAGCAAACCATGCAGAACAACTTGTTTTTTCTACTTCGATCAACTCGTGAGTTTCCACGCTATCTTGCTCTGCATTCTCTATCTTATCCGCTCCATTCTCCTTTGCAGCTACCACTGGAGTCTTCTGGTCATCTGTCATCCTAACAAGATTCTTCCACTCCCACCACCGACATCAACAGCAGTAGAAGCAGCAGCAGCAGCGTCACGCCCGAAACCACTGAGATCTGACTCACAGGCACAACCAGCAGCACCACTGTTGCCAGTCGCTGCAGCAGTAGCAGCCTCAGCATCCGCCGCGGCATCTGTAGCAGCTGTAGCAGCTGTAGCGTCCTTGTCTCGCCTCCCTTCCCCTGCTGCACCTGCCATGCACGAGCCCGCTGGTCCCACACCCCCCCTGCACGAGGCAGCACCGTGCATTCTGCACTTTGACTCGTTGCCTGGGCTGCACCTGCACACGGACGAGGCTGTGCGCACGTGAGTCGTGTGTCGGGGGGGGGGGGGGGGGGGGGGGGGGGGGGGGGGGGAGGGGGTCGCGGTGTGAGGGAAGTATTGTCTGATGGGAGAAGGACTGTGGTGGGGTGAATGGGTGACAGTGAGAGGCGAAGTTGGGGCAAGGAAGTGGGGAGGCGGTAGAGCTGGTTGGATTGGGGGAGTGGGGTGGGGGGATCTAGGGCTCGTCTGCCTGCTGCATGCATTCTGCTCTGTGCTGTCACAGTGGGCTTGCTGCTTGCTCCTACAGCTGCATGTGGATATGCCTCTGATAGGAGGATGTGGGTCGTGCACGGGAAGGAGGGTTTGGGGCTGATACATTCCACTCCACTCACTGCACCCCTCACTACCACCGTGCCTCCCCTCACCATCCCACTGCCACCTCCAGGTACCTCCAGGAGGAGTACCTCGTGCGCCACAAGGCGCTGAGCTAAGGTGACTTGATGCATTCCACTGCACAGCACCTCTCACCACCGTCCCCCACCACCATCACACCACCAGGTACCTCCATGAGGAGTACCTCGTGCGCCACAAGGTGCCCCTCACGCCAGAGCTCAAGAACGCCTTCATCCGCCTACCTGTGTTTCGTCCCAAGGTAATGCCAGCGGACTTCTGCCAGCAGTATTCGCCTCTCAGCTCGAGTATTCGCCTCTCAGCTCGAGTATTCGCCTCTCAGCTCGAGTATTCGCCTCTCAGCTCGAGTATTCGCCTCTCAGCTCGAGTATTCGCCTCTCAGCTCGAGTATTCGCCTCTCAGCTCGAGTATTCGCCTCTCAGCTCGAGTATTCGCCTCTCAGCTCGAGTATTCGCCTCTCAGCTCGAGTATTCGCCTCTCAGCTCGAGTATTCGCCTCTCAGCTCGAGTATTCGCCTCTCAGCTCGAGTATTCGCCTCTCAGCTCGAGTATTCGCCTCTCAGCTCGAGTATTCGCCTCTCAGCTCGAGTATTCGCCTCTCAGCTCGAGTATTCGCCTCTCAGCTCGAGTATTCGCCTCTCAGCTCGAGTATTCGCCTCTCAGCTCGAGTATTCGCCTCTCAGCTCGAGTATTCGCCTCTCAGCTCGAGTATTCGCCTCTCAGCTCGAGTATTCGCCTCTCAGCTCGAGTATTCGCCTCTCAGCTCGAGTATTCGCCTCTCAGCTCGAGTATTCGCCTCTCAGCTCGAGTATTCGCCTCTCAGCTCGAGTATTCGCCTCTCAGCTCGAGTATTCGCCTCTCAGCTCGAGTATGTTAGAGGGCCCTACGACAGCAAGGGCCCTCGACGACCGTTTGACTCGGCATGTCAGCTATGAACAACCAAGACGAGCAGCCCAACACCGACCTTATGACTTGCGATGGTTGCGTGGTAACGCGATATGACTACGGCAGCACTAAACAGTCATTGCTGGGGTGGTGTTAGTCTAGGGAAGTCGTAGGCACGAGTCTTGGGAGTTGTGGAGGCTTCTCTGTGAGTCACGCTACTTCTAGCTGTGCTGGAAGAGAGGGCGTGCTCGGCATTGACCCCGCTGCTGAGTTGGGTTGGAAATGTGCGGGGCGCGTTCACCCACCTGTACAGCACGTTCGTGTGGGTTGGGTTACTCGCAGCGCCACGCAACTTTGTGCAACTCTCCCGTTGCCTATATTTGGTTGTGTTTGCTTGTGTGTTTCATATATTCTAGAGATTACATTTCTAGTGAAGTCCAATTGCTACTCAAATTCTCACTAAGTCCTCTGAGACTAACTCTACCGAAGTGCTACCGAGTTGCTAGCGCAACATCAATTCCCATAGCCGAAACTCTCTCGCCGTGATAACGCTCTCCATATCATTCCTTCATGGTGCGGTGAGCGTGGAACGAACACGCATAGATTTCCGTCGTCGATTATAGTGACGTTCGTATACTCGCCTTGGCGTGCGGCGTTAGTGAAGGGCGCTTATTAATTTAAGTTGAACCTTTCTTAATTTCCCTCCAGTTACGTTCTCGGACCCAAGGATAGGGCGTTTGGTAATTTATTACCACTCGTCTGAGGACCCTTGTGAGGTGACCCCGAGACGAGGGATTTAAGGAAGGGACAATTTATTTTAATTTGTGGTACCTTATAGAGGCGTCGTAAAGGATGAGTACGGAGGAGGCGAACGTGGAGGCCGATAATTTCCGCGCATTAGAGGAGGACCTCGTGGCTCGTCGCTCTCGTGGTGAGCTTAGTAGTGAAGATTACGAGCTCATGTTGGAGGGAATACGCGCTCGTCAGCGTCGCGATCGTCCCTCGCCACGTGTAGAGCAAGCCGCGGGAGGAACTAGTGCGTGGGATATGGCTGTTGATGGCGGAGATGGCGATGACGAGGAGTTTGATGGGTTGGTGTCGCGTGGGGTCCTGCGAGGAACGACTCGGTTTAGTACGGCTAGCGTCGGTGGTATACAGGAGCGTGTTCATCGCGCAGCGGCGTCACACGAGCGTGCGAACGTAGGACGACGGAGCGTTGCTGGAGGAGGGAATGCGGAGGAGTACGATAGTGGAGCTATGCCAGGCATTACCCCGATTGGATCGATGTCGAGGGACGAGGGAATAGCCCC